GGTACCCCATTCATACCATACCCAGTTTTCAGCCACCAGAAAAAGAGAGAACATCCTAATCCTCATTTAAGGTCATTGCGAGATCATTCCTCTTTTCTACACATCATTTATAGGACTAAGTCGCGCAGTGAAGTCACTTCACCAGTGGCCCAGAAATATCAGGACCAAGCTTCATGTACTTAACATGACCTTTTTAAGGTAGCCCACAAAAATATCTCATCTTTGCTGGTGGGCTGGTGATGTTCCCTAGCAACAAAGTATCCGGGATTAGTGAAACAAACTACCTAATGTCAACCCCGGATTAAAATTCACAATGGTTTATGAAAATTAGAAAGTACTTCCCATTCATAGTCATGTCATCTGATACTTTTTATGGTACACCCTCTTTTTTTAAATGGCCGTTTGGGGTTTATTAATCCAGGGTTGAGATTATCCAGTTGGTTGAGGATGTGCTACAGGCCAGGAACGACACAACGGTCCCAAGCGGGAGGTACAAAAAAATAAGAACCCCCGAACGATAGCTTAACGTTAGTTTATAACATTTTAAAACTAGCATAACTATAGTTGTTGATAGTTCTAACATGTTCTAAAATGTTCTAACATGTTCTAACTATACATAATGGTGTTTATAAACACACTTACAACTGGGGGGGGGCCGTTAAAATCGCCTAAATCCCACCTTTTTGTAGCCCTATTTTTTTCCCCATGGATCCATGGGAGCCGTGAAAAATTATCCCGTTTTCCCATTTCATGGCATATGCGAACCATGGTGCTGGAATATGCACACCAACATTTGCCCTAAACATGACCCAGTTTTGTAGGTAAATATTCCAGCACCATGGAGCATCCGGGATATGGTTTACTGGTTTTTACCATACACCTTCAGTGAAAACCCATCTGTGAGAGCTACAGAAATCCATATTAGTGATGATTAATCCATATTAAAAAGGGTGATTTTCCAAATGTTCCAAACCAACAACCAGTTTAATTCATCATCCCCAAACAATTAGCTCGTATCATCTCGTATCAGAGTCCCGATGTCATAACATGTCAAAACCAATCAACCACAGTGTCATGGTCATTAATAGTTATCATTGCTTTTAAATGGGATGATACATAAACCATAAATGGGGTTTTGTTAGTACTTAGTTTCCATATCTGGTTGGTGGTTAAAAAACGATCTTGACAAATATTAGTCAATGGGAAGGATTCTCCCATATATTTTGATTATTATGGAAAATAAAACATGTTCCAAACCACCGACCAGGTTATATAATGGTTATGGGTCAAAACCCTGGTACCTATTGAACCTTAAAATAACTATAGTAAATAGATCTTCATCCCACTAAAATTGGCATCAATAGGTGTGGACCCCGCTGGACTCCGCGGTCGTCGAAACAACGCGGCCGGACCTTGATCCAAAGCCCTTGCTCTGACAGGTAGTCGTCCGCGCGGAGGCTCATGGCCATGACCTACGGTAGGCTCGCGGTAGGCTGGCGAAGGCCTAATCGTGAAGGTTCCAACCCCACATCCATTACCTGTATGGACAGTATATATAAATATGTATGTGTATATATATATATATATTTGTTCGCAATCAGCTATAGATCCATCAGCTATTTTTTTTCATTGCCAAACTTGTGATCTGGTTATTTAGCATAGCTATGGAAAACCCATTATAAATCGAGGTTTCTAGCTGGGAAAATCATCTGTAAATGGGTCGTGTTCCATAGCTATGTTAAATAACCAGAGGGTAGATACCCTGCAATAATACAAAAAAAACTTAGATGGTCTGTAGATCTTCCTATAGCAAAATATCAAAGGATTGAACTACCCATCCAAAGTTGACCTAGGTTTATATATCGTGTGACCCTCCAAATACAATCCCTCAAAAAAAATGTAAAAACACTAGTTCATTCTGTGGAAAAACTTAAGAAACCACCACATCTGCAAAGAAATGATAATCCTAAACTTAGCATGTACATGGAACGCACATGAACACACCATGAAGATTTTCCACCAAACCACGTTGGATTACTGGAGGGAATCCCATGTTCAACTCACTATCCGACTTGATTATAACAATGTGCCCCCACTCAATAGCTAAGTTGTTGATAGAACTGCAAAAACGAGCAAGGACTTATGGTAAATATGTAAATATATATATATATATGTATATATACATATCTATATATTAAATATACGAATAGGTATTTTAGACTACCTCCGGGAAGGTTTTCCTTGGCCCGCCCAGCCATTTAAACATATGGAACCCAATTCATTTAAACATACTGCAACTACATTTAAATTTACGAACTGGTATTTCATACTACCTCCGGGGCCTTTCTGTGTGGCCCGCCCTCCACATATTTAAATGTCGTTACCGTATACATATCATAGAACTAGTTTAGTCTTCGTGGGATTTCTGGGGGTAACATATGCCAATTTTACGTTGTGTGGTCGCAGCGTTCAACCCCCCTCTGGTCCCTTTTAGAAAGGGGTGGCCTTTCGGCCTTTCAGGACATCGCTCGTGGATTGTGACAGTTCCCAATGAATTGGACAGTATGACCCCATCCTCTGGTACACTAACAGTTTGCTATTGAAAATTGCAGTTTATAGTTGGCTTTCCCTTTTAAAATGGTGATTTTCCATAGTTATGTTAGTTTACCAGAGGGTATCAAACCAATCATCATTCATCAAGTATATCCCCATATGTTTGATGGTTGCAGCCCCTATGAATAATTGTATTCAATAAATTCAATACCCATAAAAATCACATATAATCATCAATCAACCATCATCTCTCGATTATATCCCCGTAGATTATATCACCATAGATTATACCATCCTGGTATTCAATCCCCGCTAGCCAACCAGGCTATCATCAATCAACACATGGTGAATCCATGTGAACCTGTCAACATAAATCTCATTTTTAGTTGGTTAGTACCAATTTTACCCGGTTGGTGGTATACCTACCCCTCTGAAAAATATTTATTAGTGAGTTGGGATGATGACATTCCCAATATATGGACACATTACTTTACTTCGTGTGATCCCACCATCACATTCATATACATTTTCTTACTGGCAAATCTTCTGGCATTCTATCTGACATATCTTCTGGCATTCTATCTGGCAAATCTTCTGGCATTCTATCTGGCATATCTTCTGGCATTCTATCTGACATATCTTCTGGCATTCTATCTGGCAAATCTTCTGGCATTCTATCTGACATATCTTCTGGCATTTTCTCTGGCATATCTTCTGGCATATGTTCTGGCATATCTTCTGGCATATGTTCTGGCATTCTATCGGGCATATCTTCTGGCATATCTTCTGGCATTCTATCTGGCATATCTTCTGGCATATTTTCTGGCAAATCTTCTGGGATTCTATCTGGCATATCTTGTGGCATTCTATCTGGCCGTTGAGGTCCAGCGGTGCACACTGAGCTGGGCAGGTCCCCGGTTGAGGTCCAGCGGTGCACACTGAGCTGGGCAGCTCGCAGGTTGAGGTCCAGCGCTGCACACTGAGCTGGGCAGCTCGCAGGTTGAGGTCCAGCAGTGCCCACTGAGCTGGGCAGCTCGCAGGTTGACGTCCAGCAGTGCGCACTGAGCTGGGAAGTTGGCGAAGAGCTTGGCGACGAGTTAACAAAATTGGCAAGGCGGAAGTGGAGGTGAAAGAGACAGCTAGTCGAGGAGGAGGAGGAGAAGGAGGAGGCGGAGGAGGAGGTGGCGGGCATGCGCTCTGATAAAATCTAACAACCCTCACCTGGCAGGTGGGGAATAAAAAAAGTTCCAAACCACCAACCAGTTACAATTGATAGCAAAAGAGAATAGGATTTTCCACTACCCATCTAGTCGGTTGACCCTGATACAACTGTCTTGCCTGTGGTTCATCCGCGTCCGACATGAAACTGTTGGAGGGACGAAGCCCTCTGTGTGTGCCTTGGTGGCTCTTGGATGCGCAGTCTGCTTAGGAACAGTTTTACAGCCTATAAATTTAAATAAATATATATATATATATGCATGCGTGGAAACTCCTTGCGGCAGATATTTTTTGCCTCGAAGAGCAGAATTGTATATATATATACACATACATATTTCTTTCATTTGCATGTATATATAAATATATACATGCATGGACATATACATACACATAAATATACATATAATTACATATGCATAAACATATACTTTTACATATATACATACATATATATATATATATGTATATGTATGTGATATGAGAAGGGACCATTGCCCCACAGCCAGATGGCTCCTCCCAGCAACAACAGTCCTAGTGGTTGTCCCGTTCATGGGGAGTAAATAGACAGCACTGAGGGAGTTTACAGGGAGAATATACGTATATAGTATATGGGCACCCTATGTAATGAGTCGTATATATATATATATATAGATAGATAGATAGCTAGCTAGCTAGCTAGCTAGATAGATAGATAGATAGATATTATATACGTTATGACACATGTGTAGGTAATATATTCAGGGTGATAAGAAGCATATAGGCATATAGGCAGTGATGAAGCAGTGCATATACTACCCGAAAGTGTAAAATGCTAGCTGGGAATCAATATTTGTGTAGTATATATATATATATAATAATAACTGTATGTATATATATATAAATATATGAGTGTATGTCTATATATATATATACGTGAATGTAAATAAATATGTATAAGAGTGCATATGTAAATGTAAATTTGTATGTAAATGTATGTGTAAATGCATTTGTAAATGTACATGCAATTGTATATGTCAATGTATATGTAAATGTACATGCAATTGTATATGTCAATGTATATGTAAATGTATATGTATATGCTCGCGGGGTGAAAACCGCGGATGTAGTTGTGTACATTTTATGAAGACAGAAGTTGCGCAGGTCAGTTAGAAGCGGCAAATGATGAATAATCTGATTGTCTTGGGGAACCGGGTGGGGTGGAAGGGGTGTGGAAGGGTCGAAGGGGTGTG